AAAGAAAAAAATCGCGTAAAATTATCAAAAAGAAAAAAATTCAGTCGTTAATCTATAACTGACATTTTAGTAAGTCTTCTGTACTTTAAGGAGTTATGAGAAGAACATAAAACTTCTAGTATCAATCAATCTATAGTTTTTCTCGTACTTCAAGAACTAAAAGGTCACAAGTTCGTACTGACAATTTTCCTTTTGTCTAAATTGGTGTGATATGCTTTTTTTATGTATTATAGAGTTTACTAAAGAATTAGCATTAATGAGATATTAATGCGTTGAATTGGCCATAATTTATAAAGGGCATATAAATGGGGACAACTGAGAATAATTATTTAAAGCCGTAATTTTCATTTGCTTAATGCTTCTATATTTGGGTATTGTGGTTAATCCTTCACTAAAACCCGATTTTTCTTCAGAAAAATTCACAAAAAGAAGATTTTTAGTTAATAAATGAGGATATCTCATTCATACTACATAGATGATTGAAAGGGTTTCGTTGAAAACAAGTAAACAACTGATTATGTGCAACAAATTCTAAATTCTCATTTATCTGATGTTCAAACCTTTGATGTTATATCAACTGAATTCTGCAAGTTTTAAAATGAACGTTTTCATGAAATGTTAAAATTTAAATATCCTTTGACCTTAAATAAACCCCATTTTTTTAATCCTGCTTGGATGGTACTATTTTACCAATTNACATTTTTTGCGTTTTTATGTTCTCATGGGTTTCAATGAATTTATCCTGTTGCAAAAAAAGGATTGCATTGCACGCTTTGTGCTCAGATAACAAGAATGTTTTTAGAACCTGTGAGAATATTTATTGAAAAGGGGGGAGGGGAGGGGGGCGAGGAAGATCGAAAAGATTAAGGATGATTAAACGAATAAGAGGGAGATTTGGATGAATATTTAGAACGATTCTTTAAATTTGTCCTCTGGAAATCTACAAATGATACCACTTTTCATCACTAATTTATATCAATTTGTTTTTAACTCTTACGTTCGAGAAAATTAGAATTTTGTAAAAATTTTATTAACTTTTTTCATTTTAGGTTGGTTAAACATTATTCATGTATCAATTTTCACTTTCTCAAGTTTTTAAACTAATATAATAAACTTAAAATATAATAAACAAGAAACTTTCATCAATTTATCAAAAGTTGATTAACTACAAAAACTTGCCGACTTTTGATCCGCTCAAAAGATGGATACATAAAAACCTCAAATGACGTCACTGATTATAGAGGCGAGAGTGACGTCATATTTGGTTTATATCTATCCATCTTAAGAGACGACATTTTTTGTACATTGAAGCGCATCGAGAGTAACCTTTTTTATTATACAACCTTGAGTCAGTCATGAAAAGTTTTTTTCAAGTCCAGGTCGACTTTAAAGCGTCGGAACACCTTGTCCTTGGCGTTTTAAATTACCTCAATGATTTATTTTATCATTTTTGGATTTTAAATTATATATAAATAGGATGCTATGTATTTTTTTTTTTAAAGTGAGTCTTCATTTTATGCATTTTTTATTCTCTGACCTATTTCTACTAATAAACTGTTTTACAAGCAATGCTAATGGGTTAAGTTTAAAGTTCTTTAAAGGAAGGGTTCGCAAAAATTATACAAAGGTTTAAAAATAAATAATACTTCTTTATTTTTATAATGCGACAGTTTTTTTAGATTCTCACAGAAATATTGAATAGAAATAAACTAATGAAATTACATTTTAGTTTTAATTTTTGCGAATTTTTCCTTTAAACTTTCCAGGAAAACTCTTGTAATAGAAACTGTAAAGTCTAACTTTAAGGGAATATAAAAGAAATTTAAAGTAACTGTTAAATGATGTTCTTTGCACATTTTTACAAGTTTCATTCAACTTGAAGCTTGTTGGTTATAGGAATTGAGTCTTTGCCAAAACTTTGATTTTTTAATCTCTATATCTTTGCAACCCAATGTTGTAGACATGAATATTTTAAACTATGAATTCTGTTAGATCAATTAATCCAACTTTGAAATATCAAATGTTTACACCATCAGGAATCAGGATGCTAAGATATAGAACATTTGAGTTTGTGGCAAAGACTCAATTTCTTTAAATTGTAAATTAAAGAGCATAAGATGTGCATTTCAATGTACATACATACATATAACAGCGTGAAAGGATGAACAATAATAATAAAATAATTAAAATATTCAATATAGTTTTTAAACTTTTTTTTACTGAAAAGAAATTTGTGTGATAAAAATATATGTAAGTTTGAAGTTAAAAAATCATTGAGGAGAAAAGTAGCTTTTGAATCAAATACACAATAAAAGATATGTCTTATGCTAAAAAGGGGTTATAAAAAAATTGAAATATCAAAATAAAATATTTTTTTTTTACCAATATTAAACAAAATATTCAATACACTGGTTTCAACTGAGATTAGATAATAATAGGGTTAATTAAAGAAACTGATGACTTGCCACAAAAACTGAATTTTTATACTAATATCTTTACAACCTGATTTCATATAACTTTTATACTTCATAGATTAATTCTGCTAGATCAAAAGTCGAAATATCAAAAGTTTACACCATTAAGTACGATATAAGGATTGGAAAATTAAAGTGTGTAGTAACTTACTTTTATCTTTTTATTGCGATTTTGCAGGTTGTGCAGTATATAATGATATATTTCATTGTCACCTAATACCTATTGTTTTTCTGTCTCAACCTCTAAGGATTCGCAGTTTTTGTGATTTTTGAAATTACCAAGAACAAGATTATTTGCCAGACTGCATTTCCAATAAATGCATAAAATTTGCATTCTTAAATGAAAGGAATAGTAAACGTAATATTCATTAAAGCTTTACTTAGGGGCAGTTACAATTGACAGTGGTACCCAATTTGCTGATCAATTATCAAGTGTTATCCACGTGCTTCTCTTTTAAAATTGATTATTTTAACTGTGGTTTCTTCATAAAAGTAAAGTTCTGGTTTCAAATATAATGTTCTGCTTTCAAAAATAATATTTTAAATTGTCAGAATTAAACGCTTTCCAATCTAGAAACCCCTTTGATATCGTTTACATTATTGAACATGTAAAGGGTCCCTTAGTGAATCAATAAAGGTTACTTAACTTATGAAACTGCAGTCCCTTTAAGAGTCTATTGCATTGCCAGCATGTTATATAATAAAGAGGATAAAGAATTATCAACAGATTATATCAACTTTGTTTACAAATGAAAATCTTAAATTTTTGAGAAATCTAGAATGACTTGCATTAATTTTATAAAAATATATTGTAAATCGAAAAATAAAACTTAAAATCTTAAACGTACTGTTTACTTTAATTCAAGTATACAAGATGACAATGTCGGATTCACAACGGTACGCTTGACACCTTTATCTTACAATTGATATAGCAGACATTAACGCTTTTCTAGATTTCAAAGCGTTTAGTTCTGATGATTCCTACACGTTTTTCCGCAGCTTAGATGCGTCATTTTTACTTGATCAGACAAAGCTTTGAAGAGTAGAGTTGTAAATCGGGCATTGCCATCTTTGCATGGAGGGTCATTTGAAATCACACTAACCAGTCCCTTTAAAATTTATTTTTTATTCTATTCAATCTGTTTATAAGAATTTGCATTAAATCTATTCTAAAGATCCTTGTTATGCCAAGCATACAACCATGCAATGCAAATGTTTTGCAAAAACGTAAAATTCTAAAAAACACAATTTATATAAAATATTTTATCGCATATCTAACATTAATAACACTACCAGGGGATGATTCTGCAGGGTAAGAAGTCAGTGAGCCTGCAGAACCAATGGTTCTAATGTACAAGACACAAGATAGATTTTATAAATTGTTACTATTATTTAAACGTACTTTTGATATAAATTTTAGGAACCACTTGTTTGATAGATATTTAAAATCTGCTTTAAACGTAAAAGTTTTAATTCCAACCCCTTGGTTTTCTAAAATCTAATTTAGTTGAAAGTAAGATTAGTTCTTCTGGTTTTAATTCGATAAGTCCGAAGGAAAATAATTATAGAACTAAACCAGAACTCCAGGGTAGCCTAGATACTATAGAACTATACCAGAACTCCAGGGTATCCTAGATACTATAGAACTAAACCAGAACTTCAGGGTATCCCAGATACTATAGAACTAAACCAGAACTCCAGGATATCCTAATAGATACTATAGAACTAAACCAGAACTCCAGGGTATCCCAGATACTATAGAACTAAACCAGAACTCCAGGGTATCCCAGATACTATAGAACTAAACCAGAACTCCAGGGTATTCCGGATAATAAAATTTTTTTTTACCAAAACTCCAGGGTATCCCACATACAACATATGGAGCAAACCCAGAAATTCAGGGTGTCCAAGATACTTTCAAAGGAACTCCAATTTCCAAATGCTTGCTATTGAAATTGCAATAAGATTGAAATACCAAAGGTTATAACATAGAAAACAACTAGCTGGTTTGAAAAGGCTGTTAAAAGTTATATTTTGTCGATGTTTAGAAATATGAATCAGCTTTTCGTGTTTAATGTCTCGAACATTTAAAAGGAACTGGGGGTGGTCTTTAACTTTAACAGGGGGAAAAAGTTTATGTTTTGAATTAACATATCTTTATGTAGACCACAGAGGATAGATAGAGATAGAGATTATATTAATGTAGATTGTATATAAACCATCAAAGAGGATGAATAAACAGAAAGTATCCGATTACATAATTTTAGAATTATAGCTAGAGAAGCTAAGAGAAGGTCAAACGTATGCGCCATGTATGGTACAGCTTTGTGACCTCGTTTACAGTTTTAAAAATTAAGCTAATGACATATTAGAAATTCAAAACAATTTTGTTCTTCTCCATAGCTCTTCAATAAGGGGAGTCCTAATTGAAAACCTATTAAATTTCAATCTTACGTCCAATTTATTCTAGTTTGACTATGAAAACCAGAGAGTATGAAAAGATACAAACTATATAATTTCAGAATAATGAAAACTGATCGTGTCCTGTATGAACTGTTCTTGCTCCTCATTTACTCCTGCTCTATGATAAAACCGGGGCAAACCAATCAAGCAGGTGATAATAAACGGGCTTAGGGTAGAGATGGACAGGTGAACATATAGGGGCTCAGGGTAGAGATGGGCAGGTGAACATATAGGAGCTTAGGGTAGAGATGGGCAGGTGAACATATAAGGGCTTAGGGTAGAGATGGACAGGTGAACATATAGGGGCTTAGGGTAGAGATGGGCATCGTTTTTGAACGAGCAAAATTGTTGAGAACAATCGTTTCTTAAAAAGCTATAAAAACGAACAATTTAAAATCGTTCTAACAAACTTGAAAAAAATATCGTTTTTTTACTGAACGAACAAAATATTTAAAGAAAAAATAGTTTTTACTGAATGAACGTGTTTTCTAACAAACTTTTGGAAAAGCATTTTTATAAAACGAACAATTTTATTCAACAAACTATTTTACTAAACCAACGATTACCAACGATTTTACTGAAATAACGTTCAGTGAGAAAACGAACGAAATAGATGAAAATGAACGATAGTTTGAGAACAACAGAAACAAATTTTTTGAACAATTGAAAAAAAACGAAATGTGTCGTTCAAGAACGATGAACGAACGAAATTTATATAACAGAGTTACGTGCCTGATTTCTACCCAGTAGTTTATATCTTTATTAATACGTGTTTGGGTGTTTGTCAGATCAAAAATCATAAACCAGTTGACCAATATTCTCAAATTTTGATTGGGGAAATCTGTAGATTTTGTCGTTTTTCTTAAAAATTGTTTAATTTTGTTCATTTCTCTATGTATTTATAAAGTATAAACGCGCAAGCCACTTTTCAAGAGGACTCACAGTTGAAAAATTATAAATATATGATATATAATTTATAATCAATCCGAAAGAGCTTTGAAGGGTTAAAATGGGGCCTTGCAATCTTTGAATGGAACTAAAAATTACGATTACAGTCTCTTAAAGTACGGATTTACTTGTATAGAGGAAGTTTAGTTTCCTAGCAAAGCTGGGTTTCCAAGTATAGTTTAGTATATAATAAGCATGCTGTATGTTAGCTAAGAGTAAAACAAAAAAATTTTCTGGATTTTAAAAGTGTATATTATCTACATTCTAAACCAGTTTTCCCATCTCTGTTTATTCTAGCTATACATACAATGCGACATTTAAATTAATTTCAATTTTATTAATCTCTAAGCGGGAAAAGTTTTAAGAAAGAAAACAGCCTAACAGTCATTTCATATAACTCAGAAATTTCAGAAGATTTTATGAAAAAGAATTCTTGCCGATATCTATATAATAAAAACAATATTAATATTCAATCAAGTCTACAATCATCAATCTATATTAAAGAAATATAGAGCAGAGAAGCTTTTCCCTTTATTTTGTGATTTATTGAGCTTTTGTGGCTTTACACTTCTAGAATGAATGTTTTTGTATTACTTATTTTGAATTCAGTTTCAAGATAATCTTAAGAAGAATCTTGTCAGGAGAAAACTGATTACTAGCCTCAAACTCTAATTTTCGATGTTAGGTATTTTCCCAAAGGCATTTTCTAAAGCAGCAACTGCCCAGGGTTATTTTCGAAGTGGCAACTTCCCAACTCCGTTTTAACCACAGCGTTCGGGTCCCTACACTGTTCTAGCCGCAGCACTCGGCCCCCTAGCCCAATCTCGTAGCAGCGCTCGGTCCCCAGTGCTGGCTGCGGCACCTCAGACGGCCAAACCCACCCTTAGGAAAGGCACCGCTTGGGAAATTGCCACTTGAGAAATTATAACTTGGGAATTTGCCCTTGGAAAAAATGTTTTGGGAAAATACCTATCATCTAATTTTTTAGTCCATACCTTTGCAAACTGATTTTTTAGATCTTTGATATTTCGAACAATAAATTCTAGGTTTAAGTTTTAAGTTTTATGTAATATTAATTTTCCTGGATAAAATAACTAATTCGCATATTTAAAGACAAAGTTCAAGCTATTTATTAAAAAGTTAATTCAAATTGTAAAGATATATCAAAATCTTATTCCTATTTTCATATTTGATAAAAAGTATATTTTGCCCCACAAATGTGCAAAATGAAAATAGATTTGAATCTAAATTAATCAAAATTATTGGAACGGAAAAATAAAATGAAATGGAATTGTCAGGGAAACCGTTTCAAAGTATTATTTAAATGAAAGCTAAAGGGATTGTTAACTTTTTTCAAACAGTTTCGTCAAAACTGAAAAAAAGGCTGAAAAGGCTAAAATAGAGTTCACGAAAGGATTATTGGATTTTCATGTTGATGTCTAAACTATAGCTGCAGAATAAAGGATTATTGGATTGTTGATGTCTAAACTATAGCTGCAGAATAAAGGATTATTGGATTGTTGATGTCTAAACTATAGCTGCAGAATAAAGGATTATTGGATTGTTGATGTCTAAACTATAGCTGCAGAATAAAGGATTATTGGATTGTTGATGTCTAAACTATAGCTGCAGAATAAAGGATTATTGGATTTTCAACTATAGCTGCAGAATTAATTTCACATGTGAAATAATGGCATTGTTTAATTTACGACTTAAGGATACCACCATAGATACCACTCGATATCCAATGGACGGGCTTAAACCGTGTTATCCATAAATCAGTTAAAATAACAGATAGGACACTAAATGTCGTATTTTCAAGATTTGTGTGTCTTTCGTTCACAATAACCCTAAGGCAGAAGCCCAAAGGAGTTATGTGTAGTCGGCGTAGAACAGGCTCTCTCTGTGCAGAATTACAAGACAGAGCCTGTTCCACACCGACTACGCATAACCCCTTTGGGCTTCTATCTAGCTCAGGGTTATTCAGAGTCTCAAGTTCTAATTTTATAATATTTCTTTACAACCTGAAAACTTAAAAATTTTATGTTACGATACCTTAATCTTATATCCGGTATCCGGTATATTGTAACACCAATTTAGGTTTGTATTATTTAATACAATGGTCATTTTCTCAAAAACGTGAATATGTTGTAATAAAAAGCATAACTGCATATATATACCTGAATCCAGTCTTATTTGCCCTGGGGAGCCTTTAGTTCAACTTTATTGCTGAATTCATATCTTCTTCTGGGTTTTATTTCTTGATAATAAAACCTGCAATTTATATTGGGTCAAACCAATGCTTCATAAAGAAACGACATTTCTATACAATAATTTCAATTTTATTGTAATAAAAGGACTGTAAGCGTAATTTCAAGTGACCCTTCATGCAAAGATCGAAATTCCCGATTCACAACGGTACCCTTAAAATCTAAAAACAATATCATTAAAAACACTTTTAACTCTATAAAAACGACACCAGGTTCCACATTATTGATCACAGGGAACTCAGGGGCGAGGGAGTACAGAACGTGACGAAAACGTCGCGTAACATGCAAGCAAGAAATGCGCAAGTCACTTTCGCGAAGAAACGCAAATGAAAGTAAATTGTTTAAATAACAAAAACATGAATATCTAATTCGTACTTCATCAGATAAAGCTTTCAAGGGTACCGTTGTAAATCGGGCATTCATCTTTGCATAGAGAGTCACGTAAGATTACGCTTACAGTCCCTTTAATACAAATATATGGATCGTGCATAAGGAAATGGGAAAGAAAATTAAAGTTTATGTTAAAAAAATATGACTTGTTTGCTTTGTATATAGTAGGGTTAAAATATCTCAAAACAAAGATTAAATTATGATACACTGGATTCCATCCCATTATAACCGCAATGATAAAGGAATTGAGTCTTTGCCATAAAATCTGATTTTCTAATCCCAACATTTTTGCAACCTAATGCCGTAGACCTTTGATATCTAAAACTATGACCTGAAGTAAAAATATTTTATAGAGAGGGTCAAGGTTATAATGAAAGGAAAGTTATTTTAGAGGTGTACGCATCTTTTGTACTGCAGTGTACTGTCTCTGGGCGGTAATGTAAACACAAGACGGATGTCACAGCCTGAAATGGGATCCATCTTTCACATGACAAATCAATGAAATATTCTGGTCATAGGAAACTATTATGTGAATTATCAAAATTATCAAAATTCAATGCTTCTAACCTCCTCGGATACTAAACGAACACTGATGCATCTATTCTTGTTTACAAATTCCTCCCAGAGAGAACTGGTTTCAATATGTACGCAGAGTATACGCATCCACAATTAACTTTCCTTGTATTAGTACCTTGGAAAGAGTACACATAAACATGACAATTCAAAGACGACAACAATTAAATTAAATTAGTTTAAAATAAAACCAGATGAAATACCATATAAACAGGCCTCTTTTTCATTGAAATGATTCTTTATTAGAAATTTTTCTAATAATAATGGGACACACTAATATCAAATTACTTTCATTTTTAAAATAGGAAAAATTAAACATTAAGATAAAAATAATGGAAGTAATGAAAATAAATTTAACAATTCCACACTAAACTAGAGTACATTTGTGAAAACAGTTTGTTTTATTTGTTTTTCTACTATTAAATTAACTTTTAAAGTATTTTTGTTTTGTCAGACAAAATTGTGAAGGAAACTGAAATACAACATCTCAATGCCTAAAATCAACAAAGATGATATTTGAATAATTTTCTAAATGCAGTTTAGATTTTTTTAAAAATACTCTATGTCATGTTTAAAATTTATTTGAATTTTTCTTTCTATTTTTTATCATTTTAAAGGTACGTCTGTAGACTTAATTAAAAGTAACCTTCCATTAATATAGTGCCATGTCCGATTTACAATGGTAGACTTTTGAATGATCAAGGTTGACGGAGATATGCTTTTATTTTTATATTAAATTGGTTTCTCTGCAGTAGGGATGGGGAAGGCAGAAAATTGGCAGAATTTAATAATTTAATTATTTAATAATTTAATAATTTAATAATTTAATAATTTAATAGTTTAATAATATAATAATTTAATAATTTAATATTAAAATAGTATTTTTTTTAATCTTAAAATTAAAATTTGCCCATTAAAGGGACTGCAAGCTTAATTTCAAGTGACCCTCCATGTGAAGAGGACACTGCCCGATTTACAACGGTACCCTATATCAAGGTTATAATGCAAGGAAAGTTATTTCAGAGGTGTACGCATCTTTTGTACTGTAGTGTACTGTCTCTGGACGGTAATGTAAGCACAAGACAGATGTCATAGCCTGACATGGCACCCATCTTTCACATGAAAAATCAATGAAATATTCTGGTCGAAGGAAACTATTATATGAATTATCAAAATTTTCAAAATTCAATGCTTTTATTCACCTCGCATAGTAAATGAACACAGATGCATCAATTCTTGTTTACAAATTCAGCCCAGAGAGAACTGGTTTCAATATGGACGCAGAGTATACGCAAACTGCAATAAACTGTCCTTGCATTATAACCTTGCCTTATATAAACCTTAGACTGATTATTAAGGACAGAGAACATTTTCTGTCTATCTCTCAAATAGTTTTTAAATTGCTGTAAAACTCTTGCGTACAGTGTCAACTCAAAACAGCTGATGTTACATGAATACCTAAAAAAATGCAAATTAATCTTTGTCCAAAATTTAAGAAAAATATGAAAAAATATAAAAATAAAAAACAGCTTGCAAACCTTAAGCTTTAAACAAATGAAATTTAACAGCGTTTTTGTGGCTAATTTATTTCAGGTTCTATGCCTATATTTGAAGGAAGTGAGACAACCAACCTTACAGCTCACATCGGTTCAACAGCTATCCTCAGCTGTAAGATTAGAAACAATGAAAACAAAAACCCGGTGAGTCAATCTAAATATAAACAGAATATATAATTATTCATTTAAACCTATTTTTTATCTTAAAAAGTTAAAACTATCACTTTATTATTATTATATTTATTTGTCGCCTTATCACCAGTTCCAGATACAAGTCACGTTTATCAATATACAGGGTGTCCCACGAAACATGACGGTTGGTGAATAGTTTTAAACGTCTTCTTCCATATAATGTATTAGATATTGAAGACTTGTTGTGAAGTTTATTTAGTTAAAAAGTCTTTTACTAAAATGTATTTTACTTTGAAATCAGCTTTACTGTAATACGACTGTCATATACTATTTTGTATTCTCTTTAGTATCAAACAACTTAAAAATCATGGAACTATTGACCAACTGTCATTTCGTGGGACACCCTGTATATGACATGCATCAATGCAATAAGCACAACGACAATTGAATTGAGTCCCTGTCACAAACTCAAATTTTTTCTCATCCCTATGTCTTTGAAACCTGATTGTGCATACCTTTGATAATTCAATTTTAGATTATTTGTTCTAACGAAATTCAGAGTTTAAAATATCGAAAGTTTGAGTTGCAAAGATAGAAGAATTAGAAAATCGGAATTTGTGGTTGATAGTTATGCTTATTAAGCATGGTTAAAATCTGAATTTGAGCTTTTCGACATCCTGCATTTTTGTTACTCCGTATAAGACAATTTTGATCGCTAACAAATCTACCCTCAGTTTTTATCCCCTATTGCAATAATTCTGCTGTTTTACTGCACAAAGTCATAGAAATTATATCTTTAGTAATCCTGCTGTTTTTCTGCACAAAGTGATGGAAATTATATCTTTACTGCAAAATCATTTTCAAGTATCCCCCGTTGTAACTGAAAATCTGTGTCCAATGAATGACCGTAAATACAACCAAAGACGGCAATGAGTTGAATTAAACAATTTATGAAAGAAAGTATTACTTTCTTTATTTAACAAAAACAATAATAGATTTCAAACCTGATTCCTTGAACAATTGAAATAGAAATTTAATATTTTTTTATTCTGATTTGGATATTCAAAACTTAGATCATATACTAGATCATGTACTAGATCATGTACTAGATCATGTACTAGATCATATACTAGATCATATACTAGATCATGTACTAGATCATACTAGATCATACTAGATCAAACTAGATCAAACAGTCAATATTATATAAATCAAAGGTATCATTAACCTAAAATATTATAGAGAATAGAAACAGAGTTTGATGCGAGTAATCTGTTTCTTTAATCACAGTTAAAGGGACTTTATTCGTAATTTTAAGTTTAACTCGCCATATAAAAAGAAGAAAATTCCCGATTCATAACGGTCCTCTTGAAACCTTAGTCAAAATAATAATGTGTTATATAAAATCGGCTATTTAGCTTGAAAAAGCATTTATTTATGTTTTTTTATCAATGGTCTTCATGCAGTAAACCCACACTTGAAAATAATCAGTTTTCAAAATTATAAACACTGATAATAATTCATCAAGCTTTTGACCTTTTAAGGGCACCTTTGCTACTCGTTCATTGACATCTTTGCATGGAAAGTCAATTGTTGCCTACATTCCCTTTAATTTCCAGGTGTCCTGGATAAGACTAAGGGATTGGCATATCCTGACTACTGATCAGAGTACGTTTACCAACGATGAAAGGTTCCACGTGATTCATCAACCACAAACAAGTGATTGGACCCTGGCCATCAAATTTATTACAAAACGAGATGAAGGAGTTTATGTTTGTCAGGTAGAATACAGTTGAACCCATACAAGTGTGGAATTGGAAGACGACATTTGATCAATGTTTTATGTATTTTATGTTGTTATAAAATGTAAATAGTTTTCTTAGTTTCAAGTAGAGTTAAGTCTGAGGTAGAAACTTGTTTATGAGAATTTACTTTACTAGAAGGGGATGATTCATTTGGTGTGCTGTCTTTTATAGTCTGTGTGTGTACTGTACAGATTGCTCTTGTGGCTTGAAAGTCGGCATGGTACTTGAAATGAACCGGAGCACAATGTTTGATCCACGATGGAAACTTTTGTGTTTAATCTGTGAAAACATGGATTAAAAGTACAAAAGTTTTGACCTTTAATTTTTATTTAAAAGCCGTAGAAACATTCTAAAATTATACATCTTGCAGGAACTAGGGATTAGAAAATGCGGGTTTATAGTGTTTAAAGAATTCTGCGAATTTTCATTCAAAATTATTTCCAACAAAATCCTTTCTGAACGTATAATCTATATTCTTTATCCAAACATTTAAAGTAATTTACTAAACTCTAAACATTTAATGAGATCTTTTTTCATTGATTTGATTGCTGTAAATTGAACCACATAAAGTAATCTTTTTGGTTTACACCTTTTTGTTGAAATCTTACCTCCATCTGTGATCTCCTTTTATAATGGAAAACGAATACAGGTATATGTATAAATGGTCATTTCATGTTGCTTGTAACATTTTGATGTCGACCCAGTCCAGAAAAAGTTGTTTTCCCGGAAATTGAATGTGTTTTCTCAGATCGGAGAAGATATGGTATCATAGAGTAGAGTAGAGTAGAGTAGAGTAGAGTAGTCATCATCATTATCATCATCATCATCATCATCATCATCATCGTCATCATCATCATCATCATCATCATCATCCTCATCATCGTCATCATCATCATCGATCATCATCATCATCATCATCATCATGTTAGAAAATAGACGACTATTTATTAATCTATTAATAAATGGATTTTAAAAAGTTTGCACGTGCCAATCCCTAATTACCTGAGCACAATCCTGCTTTGTGCTAAACCATCTTCTGTGTATTCTTCATTTAGTTTGTTTGCATTTAAACTTCAAACTTTCTATGTACATTCTACAATGTACACTGTACAGTTTTACTTTACTGCATCTTGTTTTCTCATGAGAATTAAAACTGTTTTTAGAATAAATGAATTAATTCATAACAATGAGAATCCCAGAGCGTCCATATTTTTGCTAAGCTATCAAAACATTGCTGTTGTCAAAGTTTCATTCTAATCAAATCTATAAAACTTTGGTTTTCTGGAGAAATATTCTCATCAAAGGGATTGTTCCCTCTATTTGAAATAGACAAAGTATTCCATTTTTTAAAATCTGGAATTACCGATATAAGATTGATATCTGTTTCTATGTAAAACTAAAATTAACATCAAAAGAAATATGGTTATATCAATCATTCTGTAATGTAAGAGTTGAAATGAAATCAATGTTTTATTTAAATTTGCATTTTACCAATCTTATTCACAAAACTAATAAATATAACGTAATTAAGCACAAAACGAATATTTTATTAAATAAAAGGAAATAGATGGATATCAAACGGTTAAATCAATATATCGCTGTCCATCATCATGGTCACTACGATCACCTCCTCCTCCGCTCGTGAGCGTTCCTTCTCCACCAACTCCCCTAGGTTCCTCTCTTGATCTTTCCGCTGCAGTTCTTTGAACCCGAACTTCGGGAAACCCAGCTCATGGAAACCTAGGGACGCTTGGGCCCCAAGCTTAGCGGGGTTCTATAAATAACCTTACACACTAGGGATGAATAAACTAAACGAAAAGGGGTATATGTTTCCCCTTTATATCATTTACAAAGTTCTTTCACAAAAATCATTATTTTCGCACGATTACAGTACTATCAGGGAAATTATTAAAGGGACTGACGTTAAATTTTCATGTGACTTAATTAAAGGAAGGAATGTCCGATTTACAAATGTACACAGCGGTACCCATTAAACTTGAAACTGTTTAATCTTCATAATTTCCTCCCAGTGTTTCTGCATTTTACAGAATTAACCATGTGTACCTCAAGCATTTTTGACTAAACAATGCTTATAAGGGTACCCTTGTAAATCGGTGAATCTTCGGGGAGTACTGCAGTGATCTGCAGTACTGCAGTACTGTACTGCAGTACTGTACTGCAGTACTGATCTGCAGTACTGCAGTACTAATATGCAGTACTGCAGTACTGATCTGCAGTACACTGACCGAAGAAATAGTAGAGTTTAGCGGAGAGTGGTTTTTTCATTATACGCCTTCATACATAATAAAAAGTCAAGTAGTTGTCAAACTCTGACAATAAGTTGAGTGTAAGAACTCACCAAATAAAGAAAAAGAATTGCAGAATTTACCAAAATATTAGAAGTAGAGTTGGAGGGCATTAATATTTTTAATTCATTCTTTATACATTTGAAGTTAGTGAGCTTTGAATAAAGCTCCTCATAACTTTTGATTTTTGTTTTTATTGCACTATGCAAGAACTAACTGATTAACAAAAATGCTATTAGTTTCCTTCTGCAAAATGTAATTATCAAACTTTTTTTTTAAATGGATCAAAGTGAAGACGCTGCATACATTAATAGTAAACAACACTTTCCTGCTTTTGCATTTGGTAGATTAAAAAAAAATTTTATCAAGATTTTTTATTTTGATTGGCTATAAACTTTTAGTCGTTGTTGACGTTTATAGGATAAAAACTGACAAGCCAATAAAATCAATACAAATTCTTTTTATAATTTTAACAAAGAAATTGAGTTTTTGCCTCAAACTCTGATTTTTAAATTCTTATATCTTTACAACTCAATGTCGTAGACCTGAGACATTTCAAACTATGACTTTCGTTATATCAAATAATCTAAATTAAGGTTTACATCATTTGTTTGTAGAGATATAGTTATTTGAAGATTGGGATTTGTTTATAGGAATTTAAAGCCTAAAAGCCTTGAATTTTTTAAAAAATTCCAAAAACTATGCCAGGATTGATAAGGATTCCATTAACATGAGGAAAAAGTTCATTTTATGCTGTGTTTGATGTTCATGTCTACCCTCTGTTATTCTAAGGATTGATGTTCATGTCTACCCTCTGTTATTCTAAGGATTGATGTTCATGTCTACCCTCTGTTATTCTAAAGATTGAATTTTAAATCTAAGAACTATGGAATCAAATTTCTATAAATAAAAACAAGATTTCTATAAATGCATTTTTCTTATAAACAGCAATGCAGGCTTAATAAATATAAATACAATAATTGAAATTTTTTTGCTTATTCACTATGTAAAAGTAGCTAAAGATACGTGGTTGCACCATCTCTTCATAGTTAAACATCTTCCCGTAACTCATTAATATGGTTCAAGAATGCTCTTTTAGCCAAATGGTGCCAAGAGGTTGCACATTTAAACTCAATAGTCCACATGTCTACTGTTTACTATTACAACGCTGATATTATGGAGTAAGGAGTTCTTTAGATTAGAACAGTCGAGGGGGAGGAAGGGCATCTTTTGCACCCCCCCCCCCATCCTTGTGAATATTTCTACCGCAAAAAATAATTATGGGTTCATGAAACCCTCATGCCTTTTAAGAGTCAAGTGTGGTTTAGCTTAGTTTAGTCTGTTCTCGTAACTGTCAAGTGCCCCTTATATTACACCACTTTCTCAACTAACCTAAACCAGACACATTACAATACAAGTCGGTTTCATTGTTATCAGGCGATAATTAGGGCTGGACGTGGGCAAAGTAAAATTTAACTAGCTCAACAGACACATATCTGTTGTATTGTAGACCCTGGAGCCCACACAGTATGTTGGTTCCATGATACGGGAACTATGCTATGACAAGAAACTTATCTGTTTTATTGTAGGCCCTTGAGCCCACACAGTATGTTGGTGCCATGATAAGGGAACTATGCTATGACAAGAAACTAATCTGTTGTATTGTAGACCCTGGAGCCCCCGCAGTATGTATACTGGTTCCACAATGAGAGAATAATCAACTATGACACGGCGAGAACTAGAGTCTCCTTTGATCAAGGTAGAAATTCTTCTTTTACTTTTCTATTGACCTAAATTTTATTCATGTTCTACTCTTTTCTTTATTTTCTCCTTTTTCTATTCTTTTACATACCCAACATTTTACACATTTTCTATACTTCATGCATAGGGCTACCTTTTATACTTTTTACACATTTTCTATACTTCATGCATAGGGCTCTACCTTTTATACATTTTACACATTTTCTATACTTCATGCATAGGGCTACCTTTTATACTTTTTGTAATTGTAATACGCCAACACAACGTGTATGCATTCACACAGTACAGTATAACAGTTATAATAAACAAACAAAATCTGTCTTTTTTTGACGTGAACGAGGAAATATCTCCTTAATGGTGATGTTTTGCATATGTAAGTTGCAACATGAGCTAGGGCCGCAAATGTACCAAATTATGACTTTGACAATAAAAATAGAACACAACTTATTTGGATCATTATCTTTATTTGAATCCAGATCCGATTCAAATAATAATAATGGATTGTGATTGTCCCCAAAGTGGGAGGAATTACTCAACCATGGTTTATATAGAACACAGAATAAACATTAAAGCTGACTTTACGGCAATGAAGGCCTTAACAAAATATACATACATGGCTTTCCTGCGTATTGTAGTTTTTTTTGTAAATTTGTGTTGGGGGGGGGGGGGCTGAATTTAAAAGCTTTTGACACAAAAACCCCAACTTTTTCTTTTATTGTTACAACTATAAAATATTCTTTGAAATATGCAATGTAGAGTAAGCATATTGCATTGCACAGTCTATAAAACCTAACTTCTTTTGTCATTTCCTTGAATTCTAATATTTTGCAACATATTTACATTTTGTTTTTTAGGTAAAAATGTATTTTTTTAAAAAGGTATTATATTCTATATAAATCTATAATCTATTATTCTACGATAAAGAATATATAGATATCAAATCACACATTGGTTTATTGATCATTATTTTATTGAGGAACTGAGTAGGTAATCAGAAAATTTGTAAAAAAATTCACAGTTAACATTCAAAGAAAGAAAAAAATACATAAATGTAACAGATCTTATGGTGATGTCATGAACATTGAAAGTAAGAGTGTATAAAAGGTGGGCAGTTGAATATGTTAGCCCATACTTCTTAAAACATTATTGTTATAAAAAAATACAAAAATAATCTTCTTTTTTATCTGCAATAAACACAGAAGCAAAAGCAGAAGCAAAGGCACCTTTAATTATTACAATATTTAAATACTGAGGATTTATTAATTGCGAGAAGTAGCTGAACTGCTCTGACACAACTCAAATACTTCACTTGTTAGCCAGTTCAGCGTTGTATCACTAACATGGTCCCTGATGTTAATAACTTCCAATCTGGTTGATCCCCCTTGTATGTAGTTTAATATTTATTTAGAAATATGATTAATTGATTTATAATGTGCTGTTCAGGTGAGAATAATAAGAAGACGAGTAGTCGGCTGGTTATAGCAGGAGTGCAGAGAACTGATAGCGGCAACTACACGTGCACAACAGATACTGCTCGCCCCAGCGTTATTGTAGTTTACGTGTCGGATGGTAAGTATTGAATCTTAGAAAAGTTTGTTAGAGGAAGAGGAGGAAGTTGGAAGAGAGTAAATAATTAATAAGCTTTCCAAGAAAATATAATGCATTAACTTTGCAAATATTTCTAAAAATTATAAAGGTATCTGAAGTAAAACAGATTATCAAAATAAGAAAATAGAAATTAAATGCATAGGGTATGGATCTGTTTTGAACGGGGTCCCATTTGCTCATAAATTCCAGTTTATTGTTATGTTCAATGGGATTTCTATTTGTAATTTTCATGCCTCATGGTTAGGTCTGAGCATATTCAGACTTTTTGGTTTGTTAATGGTTAGTTTAAATAACGGAAAGAAAAATCTTTAGGTATTTGTTTGTTCTAACCTGAGAATTGGAGGTTCCATTAAGTAACCAGTTTATTAATCCATGATTATTTTCTTCTTTTCTTTTTTGAAAACCTGCGTTATGGTCTCATGCATACTGGTTAAAACCTGTTAAAAATAAGTTTTAAATAACTTCCTGAAAGCAAAAAGTCATCTACAATCGTTGAAAATATGATTTTTAAATTTTCTATTCTTCTATAATTTGTTTGTTTAAACAAATTTCTAAAAAAAAAATTATTTTATATTTATTTAACATATTGGAAAATTCCATGCCAGCAAAGTTTAATGAACATACATTATTTGCACTTCTGTTTTTTTACTAAACTGTTTTTAGAAACAGAAAATGTATACTCAGTTTTCAAAATATGTTTGAAATATTTTAAAAGTAAAATTCTGAATTCTTCTATTTTCCATGTATGTTGAAAAATGGCCTTATTTGAGTATGTCAATATCTTTAGGATCAGGATCAGGACAGGCAACAGAATCCATTTTTTACTTTATTCAATACTTAGTCTACTTTCTAGCCTGAGAAACTACCTTTCAAATAGGGCTGACTTAGTCTACTTTTAAACCTGAGTGTATACTAAAGAAAGAAGGAAGAAGGAGGGGCAAGTCCTTAAGTTGAATGCAGGCCTGTAATAAATTTAACTCAGATAGATTAAGGATCGATTAAGGGCTTGTTCGATAGCTAATAGGTTGTTTGATAGAAAGCTATGCTTGTGTCCCTGTGTGGCATTTAATGCCTGAGTAATAGCTTGTTTGATAGAAAGCTACGCTTGTGTCCATTTGTGGCATTTAGAGCCGAGTAATAGCTTGTTGGATAGATAGCTATGCTTGTGTCCCTGTGTATCATTTAGAGCCAGGTTGGTTGTGTCATTTTTGACTTTGTTGGCGGATGGATTGTACCTGGACTAATACAGTGCAGGCCAATGATACTAAGGGTAGAGGGAGCGAGTAGCAAGTCTTCAAGTCAAATGCAGGCCAATGATATAAAGGTAGAGGGGGAGTACCAAGTCTTCAATCATAATACAGACCAATGATACTAAAGGTATACGGGGGAGTACCAAGTCTTCAATCATAATACAAACCAATGATACTAAAGGTAGACGGGGGAGTAGCAAGTCTTCAAGCTTAATACAGACCAATGATACTAAAGGTAGAGGGGGAGTACCAAGTCTTCAAGCATAATACAGGTCAATGATACTAAAGGTAGAGGAGGGAGTAGCAAGTCTTCAAGCTTAGAACAGACCAATGATACTAAGGGTAGAGAAAGGGAGTAGCAAGCCTTCAAGTCTAATGCAGGCCAATGATATAAAGGTAGAGGGAGATAGTAGCAAGTCTTCAAGATTGGTTCAGGCCAATGATATTAAAGGTAGGGAGAGGATTAGTATGTCTTCAAGATTAGTGCAGGCCAATGATACTAATGGTAGAGGGAGGAGTAGCAAGACTTTAAGCTTAGTTCAGGCCAATGATACGAAAGGTAGAGGGGGATGAGTAGTAAGTCTTCAAGCTTTGTGCAGGCCAATGATACTAAAGGTAGGGGGAGAAGTAGCAAGACTTCAAGCTTAGTTCAGGCCAATGATACTAAAGGTAGGGGGAGGAGTAGCAAGACTTCAAGCTTAGTTCAGGCCAATGATATTAAAGGTAGGGGGAGGAATAGTATGTCTTCAAGTTTAGTACAGGCCAATGATACTAAAGGTAGGGGGAGGAGTTGTATGTCTTCAAGTTTAGTACAGGCCAATGATACTAAAGGTAGGAGGAGGAGTAGTATGTCTTCAAGCTTAGTACAGGCCAATGATACTAAAGGTAGAGGGAAGATTAAGGGCTGGGGTGGGACAAGTCTTTCAATAATGGAATTCTGTATTCCTGCAGAAAGAAGAAACATGTGTTATCTTAGGCAAAAAGAAAAAGAAACTTTTGTAATATTTGTCAACACAAGTTTTATCAGAAATCCTTTAAAGTTTTCATCTAACAAACATGTTGCTTTTTCTAATCGGTCTCTGCCTCCCTTGTGCTATCTTAATCTACAGGGTAAATAATTTTTCAAAAAATTAAATTTTACAATTCTTTGAATTTATTTTTAGAGGTTCTAAAGCCAGGGACAAAATATACTCTAAAAAGACTTAAACCTTCTCGAGAAAGAGAAAATTACTGTGCAAAAACTTTATTAAGTGAACCAAAATAAGTATTATGATTGCATGCCCTCCTATAAAACCTAACTTCTTTTG